GGTAAAAAATAAATACCTATTCAGTACAATTTTATGGCAACTATCAACTGAAGTAGAAGTATAAATAAGACTAAAGTTCTATACTGCATAATGTAGCTAACACTAAAGAATTATACAATCAATTAGCACTTATCCACAAAACAAATTACAGCCATCTGACAAACCTGATATAAGGTAACTCAGCAAGGGCAACCTGCAGCTTTGCTTCTCTTGTGTGAGCATTGTGCTGGAAGATACCAAGGACAACAGAGTACCGATCCCAAACCTTCATGCCAAAGGCTGCTTCTAGTTCCCTGTAACCAAGAAAACACTCAAGTCATGTCAGCATCAATCAAAGGAACAGAATCCCCATGCAAAGAATGTTTAGCATATATATGGAACCCAACCAGAGGTGGGGTTTCCATGGTGGCCCCCCTACAATCTGATTGGCCATCCTGTGTGCCCCCCCATTGGTCACTGACTAGTCATAATGGTCCCCTGTATATATAATGTGGCGGTCCCCCTAAATTTATTGTTGTTATCCCCTGTGCCCCTTACCAGAAAATTCTCTGGACCCGCCCCTGAACCCAACATATACTTACTCTATCTGACTTCTCTTTAACATGTCAACACTGATAAACACAGATACTGCCGTTCTTGTGGTACGAGCCTCTGAGATGAGCCTTGCAAGGGTTCCAGAACCAAATATCATCTTTCCATCCAAACTCTTCACAGGTACCACTTCCTAGTGGAGAAAGGCAAAATTTTATTATTAAGCAAAGCCTAGGCTATGCATTAAATGTTTCAATGAACAAAGGATTTCCTAATGTATACATAAGAGGGAGCTTTCTCAGAAGTTTTGAATATTATATAAGATCATAAATTGCATACAGTATGAATGAATAATGAAACTACCTGAAAATATCATAAAAAAAAAAAAAAATCCAAACAAAGCACATACTGAACTTCTGGAGGATTTTGATACTTATCATCCTTCATAAACCAGTCTTAGGTATACTGACCTCTGGTCATAGAGACCATTCACCTTCTTCATTCTTACCTTTGCCACAACCTTGACTCCTGGAAGAGTAGACACCAATGTTGCTGCCTCTTCCAACATCAGTTGCGCAGTTGTATTCCGCTTCATTTTTGGTCCCCACTTCACCCATGGCTGCAGAACTATAGTCCCAATATGACTAACACTCCCAGAGAGGTACTTCCTGATGTTCAAGTCTTCCATGCCTTCCCTCAGATTACTGAAGTCCGGATCTTCAAGGATGCTTTTCTCAAAATCCTCATCTGTGTCCTCTGGGGGAGGCGTCATTCTCTTGGTGGCCTTTTTCTTCTTTTTTAACATGGATTTTGAAGTGGTGAAGCTTCTCGTATGGTTTAAAATGGCATTCTTAAAGTGGCACCTGTTACAAATACCTGTACATTTGTTTTCTAGGATATCCCAATTCTGAACTTTGTGGTTTGTAAACTTGATATTCTGCACAGTACAACTCTTGGAAAAATCAAATGAAACACTACTTGTACATCTGGAGTTGTTTAAGTATACCTGAGCAAATTTCATATATAATGTTCTATGAACAGACTTTCCCAAACATGAACTCAAAAAAAGAGCCATTTTGTTTATAAAATATTTCTAAGGATCTTAAAAAAATAATAATAATAATAAAATCTACATATTCATTTTCTATTCTTCTTCTACATCAACAGTTTTTTCTCTTTCAGAAATAGGGTTTAAATATGTATGTTTATCTTCAGCTGCCATCCACCCAGCCTGGCAAGCCTCTGCCCTTATGGATGTGACTTTGTATGCAACAGCACATGCAATCAGACTGGACACTATGATGTGATTCTTGCGCCCATAAGGCAGATACTTGCTCGTCAGATGCTGAGTTATGTAGGTGCCACCAAATGCTGAAATGTATTTATTGAACATTATTCATTGCAACGCCTGCAGAAAAAGTATGAAAGAGAATGAATGCCTTCACAACACAAGAGATGTATTTGACCAGTTTCAGTCAAAGAAATCTCTTGCACTGTAAATTTATTCATTCACATTTATACCTTTCTCTAAATGGAATGTAAAATAAATCTTACAGAATAAATAATAATTTAATCAATAAATCTATGTATCCCTAAGTCTCACAGACTTTTTTTCATGGATATATACCTGATTTATTTACCTAGACAGAAGGATGAGAGGCCAGTCAAGAGAGTGCGAGACATACATTCCATGTAGCCTCCAAATGCAGGGAAGGCATCTTTGTACTGGTTGATCAATTCTGTATTGTTATTCATCTTCCCTGGAAATAGAGAGCCTCATTTAGCAAAATATAATCATGAAAAAGAAAAGAAAAGAAAACATAACATTCTACAAATAACATAAAAAATTAATCTGTAATTAAAATTATGTCTTTGAACTCCTGAAGGCTGCTATCATTACCATTACAATTTCAGGCAAATTACAAGATATTGTTCCCCCATAACTTCTTCACCATCAATGAAAATATTACCTAATTACTCTGTGGATCCCACAAGAGCCAAAAGTCAATTATAAATAAGATATAAAATACACAATAAATATTGCAGCTACCATACCAGCTCATACCAACATCAATATTGTTTTCCTTATTTCAGATTCCCAAGCACTGGGAAAAGCTCCACTTATAAAAGCAGTCAAAAAATAGCCTAACTGCTTGGATTTTAAATTCTGTGTGCTTGATAACCAGTTTAGACCTTTATGTAATCCATAGAACTGGATAAGGGATGTCCATAGAGATATTCATGTTTTAGACTACGCAACCCTAATAAGGTTAAGTTGCTTATACTGACTCACCTAAAATAAACACAAAAGGCAATGCTATACGCAAAAACAGTGTTGTCTGTAGTTTCTCCCCAAATACATACGTGCCACAATATTTTCAGCTACTGCATCACTAATTTTCTCTATCTTTTCAATATCTTAGTTTTTTTTTTTTTTTAAGGAGCATCTCTGAATATGGGTTGAGATCCAATTGGGTCAACAGGAATTAAATTGCAGGACTCTGTCTTCTATCATTAATTAATCTTCAATATCTTAGGAAAGATGTTAAAGAATCAATGATGAATATAACAAAATCACTATGGTAGAACACTATACTGACATTATAAAACATTAACCTTGGATTATTCTGGCTAATGTGAAATATGTTAACGGACGCAACAATATACAAAAGATAAAATGACAAACATTAGTGTAATATTTAACCGAAGTACCTCTCACGATTAAATAATAAAAATTCTCTCCGACAGAATATCTAACCACACATGTCATACAAGACAGCAGAATAACATGTACCTCGTATGAAACCTACCTACAAAGCGGCGAGATCCGAGTCTTGTGCTAAACCATACTTATCTGACAATTACATAAACTGAGTGAGATTTCGGCCTCGACAGAGCCGTGTTTTGCTCTCTTGTGGATATGTAATCGCTTGGATACGAGCTTAAAGCCTTTGTGAAAGATTTTTTTTTTTTACTTCAACGAGCATTTTTGACTATCTGGATTCACGGAATGGGTCCAGTTTTATTGTTAAAGTGGTTTTGATACAAGAAACCAAAATAAACGATAAATACCCGAAGATAGCAACAAGAAAATATTTAAGCCTGTAGTGCGGATAACAGACAATCAGCTGATCAGAAATAAACAAAGATAGTTGCCACAAAGTCCGTATTGTTCATGTTATTTGCCGGTATAGTGGATGTCCTGCTAGGCCGGAAAGCCGACGAAACTATTATAAACGAGAGTGATGTTGCACTAACTATAACGAAAACATGCACAACTGTCAAGAAGGCTTAAATATGTGGAAATAATATGATGTTGGGCGCCTGCGCACAGTGGGAGAGTCGCCTCACACACCCACCCCTTCGATCCTGTCCTTATCTCACTGCGTTGTTGAGAAATTGTGACGAAGGACAACGGCGAGTTATAAGGTAGCAGCATGTTGATGGCCACATTGTGTGCATGGTTGAAAGGGACTGCTACATAAAAAGTTGCAAGGGAGTAACTTTGAAGTTAGCCGAGAAATTGGCATGGAAACAAGGGCAGCGGAAGAGGGCTTTAAGAATGTTTTTAAATATAGAACCTTAAAGTAATCGTATTATTTAGCATTGATTGGTCGAGATTGATTTCTTTTGGCACACTGAGAGGGTGGCCGGGTTTTATACTTCTCTGCAGTTTAAAATGTGAAAGGTACATAGAAAGCAAACGGAAGCATGAATTTACCTCCTTCTTTCACAATTGACCCACTAATTGAGGAAACAAAATGTATTCACTGGTTTTAAATTTGATAGTACACTTGGGCTCCTACATGTGATACTTATTTTCTTTATTGAACTGCAATGTCTACTAAGAGTTTTAGATGTGGTAAAATAGTGTGTTGTTTTTTTGTGGAAGTACCAACTAAAATTTCATATATAGACTGAAACTATTTTTTTTTTTTTGTTCTAGAAAATGGTGTTAGTAGAATGTCTCAACAAAATTATATTCATACTTCTAACTGAACTAAAGCTCAAAATGTGTATAAATTAGAACCCTACTCATAGTAATTAGATCTTCCTAAAAAAAACATGATTGAAATATAGCCACTCAGATCAAAAAGGAAACTAGCATAAATATTTATAGAATAGAAACTTTACTTGATATCTTTTTGAAGTTTCATTATTGTTGAAAGAGAAAATCTAACACCATTTTTTCTTTGTGATATTTGCATTTTTTATTGTAATATTAACTTTACTCTGATTATAGTTATTTTATGAGCATGTAGAGGACACTTTCTATAGAAAAAGTTATTTGCATAATAAAGATATTTTATATATGACATAAGCAATTCCAGCTCTGTCAATTTAAAGAAATATAGATATGTCAGTACACTTCAAACAGCTGTAAGTACTTTTTATATCATTATTATTCCTTAGACTGATTGATCATTTGCTTTCAATTTGTTTGAGGTCCAATTTACATTTAGAGTCAT